TAAAAGTGAAGTTATTCATCTGTACTGTGGGCCATCGTTTTACATTCCCCTGAACAAACACAAAAAAACAAAGCAGGCAAACTGGAGGTTTAAAATGGCGTCGGACGAATGCCTGGTTCAAAAAGCTGCGCCAAAAATATGTCTCCCAGAAATTGCGATCAATCCTGTGACATTTTGCAAATAATGGTTTAAATCAAAGGAATAAAATGCACGTCCCATATGACCCACCCTTTTGTTAATTCGTTCAATGAGATTTTACAGTTCAAACATATGCTCAGTGTGAAAATACTCTTTCCACGTGGTCGCGGCCAGAACAAATAATTTACCTGAAGTTAAATTATGCCACACTTTATCAGAGATTCAAATAAAGAATTTACATTATGTTAAATTGTGCCTTGAACCAAGTGACTGGTTACTTAGAAACAATTGGCTTTGTGAGTTTAGATCGTGGACTCGCCCCAGCTTATCCCAAACAAAGACATGATAAATAAACGCAAAAATGCATCCAGCCTTGCGACAAAAGCTTCTCGATGATGTAGTTTTCCACGTTGCAAGAAAATATGTCTCGGTAATATACCTTTCCACGTTACGAGGAAAATGTCTCGGTGATGTGATGATGATATGATGATAATATCTGCCCAAGGGGAGAAATTTTTAATCCCCCCGTATCTCGGTCCACGATATTATGAATTCTGCCGTACTTTCGCGGTCCTTTTCCCAGAGTGGGACAACGTTAGATTGATTCAACTGCCGTAAATTAATTATTAGCAATCTTGTGTGAGGAATTTAGCAGTATTATGTTCAATTGTGTTCGAATCAGTTAACGATTAAACTCCTAACAAGAACTGTGTATTTACAAATAATAAAACAAATGTACACGACGTGTTAGCGTCGGTCGAAAATTCGCATATTTTCGCTTGGAAAAAACCGCAAGAATTAGTTTTTTATTAACTACCAAACCAACTAAACTTAACCTAGCTAACTTAGCACGTGGTTTTACTCACAACAAACAAACCAAAGTTCTTGCATCAGATCTTGATTCAAGCAACTGCTTAACACAGTCACTATTTTATTATTATCATATAAAGACGTGCGTATACAAACATCAGATAGACAGACACATAGACGGGAAAGGGAGACTACCTTTTTGGACTGGAGGGGTCATGAAATGTCGAGAAAACAGCTCGTTCAGAACTTTCTGGCAGGATCTAAAATGTTCACCCTTGGGATCCACTTCTTCACAACGTCTAAAATACAAACGCAAAATTGATAATCTACATTAATGAACTTAAATATTCTGATAATCTCGTTTTATTTGGAAGTAATAGAGAAGAACTGAAACAAAAAATAGAAAAATAGGAATCGGACGCGAAACAATACGATCTGAAGATAAACACAAAAAAAAATAAATCTTGACAATTCGCCAGAGACAACAATAAATACTAGTTGTGGTTAAGATATGACTATTACACAACTTTTATATTCCGTCGCTGACCAAGAATGCGGGAAACTTTTCAAATATTATTATTTATTCATATATATACTTCCATGCTGTTTTAGCATCGACCTTCGTGTTTGTCAATTTAACTAAAAACGGGTATTAAGGAATGTTCATTTTATAAAGCGGACACTGAAAAATTGCTACTAATTCGAGTACTTTGGGCTGATTTAATTTTTTTTGTTATAAAAATGTTTAAAAATGTTAAATGAAATAATTATTCCTATTCTCTAATCAATTAAGGAGTGTTCATTTTATTAAACGGACACCTTTAAAGTAACGCCACTTTTCTAATTTTTAATCTAAATGATTCTAGTTTTTATATATGAAAGCTTTAAGTTGTATCTATTAAATGCCATTTTTGTTTTCAAAATAACGTTATTTCTTTTTAAAATGAAGCGAATCGCCACTGGGGCCAGAAAATTATCTTTGCAAAAGTGAAGCTACGAAAAATTTCCGTTGGGGGGACTGCCTAAAATAACTAAATGTTCAAAATCAGCAGTGTTCCAAATAATCAAAAAGTTTGGGGAGTTTAATACTTTAGAAGATTTGCTCAAATCCAGACCGAGAAAAGGCCCGCTTAACGAAAATATTGAGGAAAACATCATTAAACTGCTAAAATTAACGAAATGTATGTCTGTGTGGGAAATACGGAAGAAGCAAGGTGTTACCGTAGGTACTGTACAAAATATAAAGACTCGGAATAACATTAGAACGTATTAAAGCAAAAAATCCCAAAAAGAAGCGAAAAGCAGCGCACAAAGTATCAAAAAAAAAAGCAGGAAGTTATAAACAATTTTGGTCAGGAACAAAAATCGTTGTGTTTTGATGGACAACGAAACGAAGGTTAAAATGGACTGCAATACACTACCCGGCTCCCAGTTTTATAATGCAGTCGTAGGGGAAGATGTCCTCGATGACATGAAAACAAAAAAAATTGAAAAGTTTGGGAAAAAAATCTTAGTGTGGCAACCGATTTTTTCTTGTGGGCTAAAAAGTTTTAGTTTTTTTTACGATTGGAACAATTCGGGGCGATGATTACAGGAAAGAATGTATACAAACGCGATTATCGCCTGTTTATTGCAAACACAATAACCCTCCATTGTTTTGGCCAGATTTGGCTTCGGTTCACTACGCTGGTGCCACTCAGGAGCTTCTTAATGCCAATAATGTACAGTTTTTAAAAAAGGAAGTTAAACCACCCAACTGTCCTGAGCTTCGTCCACTTGAGCAATAATGGGCAAATATGAAATCAGTGTTAAGAAAAGATGGCCGAACAACATCATGAGTTGGAGAATTTAAAAAAATGTGGCCTCCTGCTATGAAGAAAATCACAAACAAACCTGTGCAAACAGTGATTCGCGGTATTCGCGCAATAGTTAGAAAATTTTATAGTTTCTGAATATAATTGATTAGAGAATAAGAATAATTATTTCATTTAACATTGTTAAACATTTTTATAACAAAAAAAATTAAATTAGCCCAAAGTACTCGAATTAGTAGCAATTTTTCAGTGTCCGCTTTATAAAATGAACATTCCTTATATTCAGAAATTATAAAATTTTCTAACTATTGCGCGAATACCGCGAATCACTGTTTGCACAGGTTTGTTTGTGATTTTCTTCATAGCAGGAGGCCACATTTTTTTAAATTCTCCAACTCATGATGTTGTTCGGCCATCTTTTCTTCACACTGATTTCATATTTGCTCATTATCGCTCAAGTGGACGAAGCTCAGGACAGTTGGGTGGTTTATCTTCCTTTTTTAAAAACTGTACATTATTGGCATTAAGAAGCTCCTGAGTGGCACCAGCGTAGCGAACCGAAGCCAAATCTGGCCAAAACAGTGGAGGGTTATGATGTTTGCAATAAACAGACGATAATCGCGTTTTTATACATTCTTTCCTGTAATCATCGCCCCGAATTGTTCCAATCGTAAAAAAAAACTAAAACTTTTTAGCACACAAGAACAAATCGGTTGCCACACTAAGACTTTTTTCCCAAACTTTTCAATTTTTTTTGTTTTCATGTCATCGAGGACATCTTCCCCTACGACTGCATTATAAAACTGGGAGCCGGGTAGTGTATTGCAGTCCATTTTAACCTTCGTTTCGTTGTCCATCAAAACACAACGATTTTTGTTCCTGACCAAAATTGTTTATAACTTCCTGCTTTTTTTTTTGAAACTTTGTGCACTGCTTTTCGCTTCTTTTTGGGATTTTTTGCTTTAATACGTTCTAATGTTATTCCGAGTCTTTATATTTTGTACAGTACCTACGGTAACACCTTGCTTCTTCGGTATTTCCCGCACAGACATACATTTCGTTAATTTTAGCAGTTTAATGATGTTTTCCTCAATATTTTCGTTAAGCGGGCCTTTTCTCGGTCTGGATTTGAGCAAATCTTCTAAAGTATTAAACTCCCCAAACTTTTTGATTATTTGGAACACTGCTGATTTTGAACATTTAGTTATTTTAGGCAGTCCCCCCAACGGAAATTTTTCGTAGCATCACTTTTGCAAAGATAATTTTCTTGCCCCAATGGCGATTCGCTTCATTTTAAAAAGAAATAACGTTATTTTGAAAACAAAAATGGCATTTAATAGATACAACTTAAAGCTTTCATATATAAAAACTGGAATAATTTAGATTAAAAATTAGAAAAGTGGCGTTACTTTAAAGGTGTCCGTTTAATAAAATGAACACTCCTTAGATCTATTTTTAGGTTAAACATTATGATTCGTTGACTAATAATAATCGCGTTTCTGGTATTTTTGTTCCGACTGGATTCTATTGTTCGGGATTTATAATTTTTACCATACGCGATATTAGTCACAATTATACAACAGCTTCCGATCTCTCCCTTTTTGTTAGCTCATTCAGAATGGACTTGCTAATGCTTAATTTCTGGAATCCTCGAACTCCTGAGAGTAATATTGTTTAGGCCCCAATTTAGTCCGCAAATCGCAGTCAAAATCCCGACACAACAATAATCGCCAGATAATTCCCAAACTCTTAAAAAAAGCCCACTTTTTTGGCGCTTTGGATCCGTAATTCCGGAACTGAAATTTTATTCGGCATTTTGAAACTACCACTGTGATAAGAACAATACCAATTGAAAGCATTGAAAAAGCCATTACAACGAAATTTTCCCCGATATTTTAATAGAGGTGGCGAATTTTGTTAATACGTCGGTTCGGTCCGGCACGCCCCGAGGACACACATAATAGCTTAAATATGCCATTGTTACAAACGGCACAATGAAGCTTGCAGTTTTTGAGGGCTTAATGGGCATTTTTATGTACGCTGACACATGCCGCCCGGGTTGATATTTTAAGCATGTACCTGAAATATTCATTCCGTAGTGCAGTCGGCGAAATGCTTTCGGAGGAGCCGTCCCTCGATTAATCTCCCCGGAATTATAGCTTAGTCCTAATATCGAGCTTTCCGGGTAATTCCGGGCCGATCCGGCCTCCTTTAATTATTTATTTTCTTGATTTGCAGGTAGCTTGGGTCAGAGTGGACACGCAGACGATTCTATCTATCCACCACAATGTCATCACGCAAAACCCGAGGATATCGCTGAGCTACAACGACCATCGATCCTGGTTTTTGCATATCAGGAACGTGCAAGAAGCTGATCGGGGTTGGTACATGTGCCAGGTCAACACCGATCCGATGCGGAGTCGTCAGGGCTACCTCCAAGTAGTCGGTAAGTGCTCGAGTGAGTAAAAAATCTTGTACTAGTTTTGCGGTTGCAGTGCCGCCGAGCATCGTAGATCGGGAGACCAGCTCGGATATGGTGGTTTTGGAGTCTACTAACGTCAGTTTGACCTGCAAGGCGACGGGTTATCCGGAACCGTACGTCATGTGGCGTAGGGAAGACGGAGAAGACATCCGATACAATGGAGAAAACGGTAATTGCATATTTATGACTTTTTATTACGTTGAGGTTTCGCGCAGAATTTCACCTTTATGACGTACGAGGGAGATCGGGAAAGAGACTAACGCCATTACGACTCTGCGGGAGTATCAAAATCCGACTTTATCTACAAATACGAACGATACAATAATAATAATAATAATAACATAAATAATAAAACTTTCCGTCCTTTACCTGGCCCCACTTTTCCACTTCGCCTCGTACTCGGGTTTGCACTGCAGACCACAGCATAAATGAGGAAAATGCGGAATTGGATACTCTAGCCCATCACAATAACCTTCCATTCCGCGAATTTTTTTTTATATAATCGGCTTCGCTTTCCCTGCATTCAACTTTGCTTAATAAAATCGTTATCAGACACGGAAAGAACACAATAACCTGATGAGTGCGGCAATTTGCATGTGTTACCGCAAATTCAGAAATGAACAATAAAGGCCGTATGTCGCTGTTTTACGCACTTCTGATATCGTTATGTTTCCGGTTCTATTTAAGTGCTACACAGCCGTTTTTAATACTAAATCGAACACAACCCAACAGTAAATTTAGATAATGTAGGTAGAGCTACAAATTTTATAGCGTGAGAGGTTAGTTGGGAAGTTTTAACAGCGCTGCCTTTGTTTTATGATTTGCATACCGAAATGTTTATTAATTAAGTAGCAGATTTGTGAAGATGACGAAACGGTGTTTATTGCTTGTTGTTTGGCGTGCGTCGTTAAAAAAAAGATGGAAAATCGCAACAATGAAATTCGGATAATGCGAAAGTCAAAAATTGAATAATTGAAGAAACCAAAACTTTTTAAAACAAAGAATTATAAAATTTAAAAATGAGAAATTGATTAAAAGAGGTTATATTCAATAAATGCGCACGTTGAATATGGTGAAAATCGGAATAATCTTTCTCGGTACACACTTCACTATGAGAGCAGGGTCCGAGAATAAATGTTCAAAATATAAGCCGTTGAACACATAAATTACAACACAAAATCTGCATAAAATCCCCTTTTCTTCTTCGAAGTGACGATGACAATTACTTAAGTAAAGTTTGAAAAATTGAGGCAACAAAAAATTATAAATGTATAATTGAAATAAAGACGTTTTTCGAGTGTAGATCGTGTGCAATTTATAAAAGGTTTCGACGTCTTAAACCTCTTGAACTTCGATTTCTTTGTCATCATTGAACTTTTCGTTTCTCGTCCTTCACTTCCTGAAGGTGTCCCTTACGAAAGTTGGCGAAACGTCGAGACCTTTTCTACATTTCACGTGGTTCAAACCAGAAAACTTAAAAAACTTGAAAAACTGTTTCATTAAAAACTGGACAACTGAGAAATCGAAAAATTATAAAAAAATATATAAAACTGAAAAATCAAAAATTTGGAAAATCTGATAATTGAAAAATCAAAAATTGATTCCTTAAAAAGCGGTTAATTGAGAAATCGAAAAAATGTAAAAATATAAACTTGCAAAATTACAAATTGCATAAATATAAAATAGAAAATAGTTTAAATTTCAAAATCGAAAAACTAAAAAATCAGATAATTGAAAAGTAGAAAAATTATAAAACTGAAAAATCAAAAACGAAAAAAATTGAAATAAAAATTTTAAAATATTAAAAGTCAAAAAAATGGAAAATCGGGACAATGAAGTTCGAATAAGGGAAAAGTCAAAATTTGAATAATTGAAAAAACGAAAACTTTTCAAAACAAATAATTATAAAATTGAAGATTGAGAATTTGATTAAAAGATGTTATATTCAATAAATCAAAAATAATTCATTATTAATTATATCGTGAATCCAATTCCCCATTTCATAAATAAAGACGCATGTTGAAAATGGTCGAAATCGTAATAATGTTTCTCGGTACACACTTCGCTATGAGAGCAATGTCCGAGAATAAATGTTCGAAATACAAGTTGCAGAATACATAAATTATAACACAAAACCTGCATAAAATCCCCTTTCCCGTTTCGAGTTCACGATTACATTTATTTATTTAAATTTTGAATAATTGAGGCAACTAAAAATTATAAAAATGTATAATGGAAGTAAAGATGTTTTTCGAGTGTAGACCGTGTGGAATTTAAGAAAGGTTTCGACGTCTTAACCTCCTGAACTTCGGTTTCTCCGTCATCATTGAACTTTTCGTTCCTCGCCCTTCACTTCCTGAAGATGCCCCTTACGAAAGTTGGCGAAACGTCGAGACCTTTTCTGAATTTCACGTAGCTTAAACCAGAAAACTTTGGTCGTGAAAACCCCCGAATCCTTTGCGAAACTGAACAATCCAAACAGTCTGACATCGAAAAATTGGAAAATCGGATACCTTTAAAAACGGAAAATTGTAAAATAATTAAAAAGAAAAAATGAACACTTGAAAAATGAAAACTCAAAAAAAAATTGAAAAACTGTTTCTTTAAAAACTGGACAACTGAAAAATCGAAAAATTATAAAAAATATATAAAACTGAAAAATCAAAAATTTGGAAAATTTGATAATTGAAAAATCAAAAATTGATTCATTAAAATGCGGTTAATTGAGAAATCGAAAAAAAGTAAAAATATAAACTTGCATAATTACAAATTGCATAAATATAAAATAGAAAATAGTAATAGAAAAATTATAAAACTGAAAAATCAAAAACTTGAAAAATTGGACATAAAAATTTTAAAATATTAAAAGTCAAAAAAATGGAAAGTCGCAACAATGAAATTCGGATAATGGAAAAGTCAAAATTTGAATAATTGGAAAAACGAAAACTTTTCAAAACAAATAATTATAAAATCGAAAAATGAGAAATTGATTAAAAGATGTTATATTCAATAAATCAAAATTAATTCATTATTAGTTATATCGTGAATCCAATTCCCCATTTTATAAATAAAGACGCATGTTGAACATGGTCGAAATCGTAATAATGTTTCTCGATACACACTTCGCTATGAGAACAATGTCCGAGAATAAATGTTCCAAATACAAGTCGCATAACACATAAATTACAACACAAAATCTGCATAAAATCCCCTTTCCCGTTTCGAATTCACGATGACATTTACCGATTTAAAGCTCAAATAAATGAGGCAACCCGAAACTATAAAATTGAAGTAAAAACATTTTTCGAGTTTGGACCGTGTGGAATTTAACAAAGGTTTCGACGTCTAAACGTCCTTTATTTCGGTTTCTCCCTCTTCACTGAATTTTTCGTTCTCTCACACTTCACTTCCTGAAGATGGCCTTTACGAAAGTTGGCGAAACGTCGACATCTTTTCTAAATTTCACATGGTCCAAACCCGATAACTTTTGTCATGAAAACCCCCGAATCCTTTGTAACACCAATCAATCAAAAAAGTGTAACATCGAAAAATTGGCAAATCGGATAGCTTTAAAAACGAAACATTGTAAATTACTTAAACTGAAAAAACCAACAATTGAAAAATGAAAACTCGAAAAATTGAAAAATGGAACAATTGCGAACCGAAAAATTGAAAAATCTGATTGAAAAATCAAAAATTGAAAAAGTCTTTCATTAAAAAGTGGACAACTGGGAAATAGAAAAATTATAAAAGTATATAAAACTGAAAACTCAAAAAATTGGAAAATGACAAAACTGAAACATCGTATAATTTTAAAATTGAAAAATTGAAAAATTTAAAAATCAGACAGTAGTAAAATCGATAAATTGGAAAATTATAAAACTGAAAAATCAAAAACTTGAAGAATTGAAAATGGAAATTTTAAAATGTTAAAAGCCAAAAAAATGTAAAATCGAAACAATGAAATTCGGATAATTGAAAAACGAAAACTTTTAAAAACGAAGAATTATAAAATTGAAGATTGAGAAATCGATCAAAAGATGTTAAATTCAATGAATCCATCAATTACATCGTGAATCGAATTCCCCATTAAATGTGGTCGAAATCATAATAACGTTGCTTCGCCATGAGAGGAGTGTCCGAGAGTAAATGCTCAAAATTCAAGTCGCAGAGCACTAAATGACAACACAAAATCAGCATAACATCCTCCTTTCCTCTTCGAGGTCACGATGACATTTACTTAATTAAAAGTCAAATAATAGAGACATCAAAAAATTACGAAAATGTAAAACTGAAATAAAGACGTTTTTCGAGTTTGCACCATGTGGAATTTAAGAAAGATTTCGACGTCTAAACCTCTATAACTTCAGTTGCTCCCTCTTTAGTGAAGGTTTCCGTCTCTCGCCGTTCACTCCCTGAAGATGCCCCTTACGGAGGTTGACGAAACGTCGAAACCTAAATTTCACACGGTCCAAACTCGAAAAACTTTGGCCGTAAAAACCTCCGAAACTATTTTAGAATTGAAAAATCAAAAAAGTGTGTAATCGGAAAGTTGTAAAATCGGATAATTGTAAATTTAAAAATCTATTAAACTATAAAAATGAAAGACTGCAAATTTATTAACTTGAAAAAACGATCAATTGAAAAATGAAAAATGGAAAAACTGAAAAACCACACCGAAAAATTGAAAAATTGAAGAATGGAAAAATCAGTCAAGAGGGAAATATAAAAATTAGAGGATTCGAAAACCTAAAAATTGCAAAATTATGAAATTGAAAATGAAAATAAAAAATCGAAAATTTGAAAATTTGCAAATAAAACTCTTAATATAATAAAATTCAAAAAAAAAGAAAAATCGAAACAATGAAATTCGGATAATAATCAAAAAATCAAAAATTAAAACTTTTAAAAATGAAGAATTATGAAATTGAGAACTGAGAAATTGACTAAAAAATATTAAATTCAATAAATCACATCGCGATTCGAATTACCGAGTATATAAATACAAACGGGTATTAAATATGATCGAAATCATAATAATGTTGCTCTGTACACACTTCGCTATGAGAGGAGTGTCCGAAAATAAATGTTCAAATTTCAAGTCGCAGAACACATAAATAACAACACAAAATCAACATAAAATCCCCTTTCCCTCTTCAAATTCACGAT